CCTTGACCTTGTTTCCTTCCTCGTATCCCCATCTCTGTCTTCTCCCGGCAGCACCCCATTTAATTCCCCATGTCTCTGCTTCTGTATCCTCATCGGCACCCTTAACTCCTCCCCGGCCTGCCTGTCTGTCTGTTCTCCTGTCAGTACCTAAATCCTCCCTGTACCTCTGCGTCCACCCCGCCCCCCGTCAGCGCTCCCGAATCCCTCCTGCGTCCTTGTCCCATCCTCCTCCTCTCCATCAGCGTTATTAAACTCACCCTGCATCCTCGGCTCTGTCAGCACCTCTGCACCCTCCCTATGGGTACCTCTCAATCCTCTCTGCCCTACCCTTCATCAGCACCCCTAAATCCCTCTACGTCCCTCCCCCAGCCTCCCTGGAGCATCAGCCTGGTGGGAAGGCCCATGTGCCCCCACGCCCCCGCCCCCGCAAGGGCCAGGCCAGGCTTCGCAGCATCCCTGGAGCCCCTCTGGCTGGGAGAAGCTCAGGCTGAGCCTGCCCCAGGCACGGGGCTCCCACTGCCTCCTCCAAACCCTCCCTCAGCCCCGCTCCTCCCCGGTGCCTGCAGGGAGAGGAGCTGGTTTTCAGCCTGGTGGGAAGGCCCATGTGCCCCCACGCCCCCGCCCCCGCAAGGGCCAGGCCAGGCTTCGCAGCATCCCTGGAGCCCCTCTGGCTGGGAGAAGCTCAGGCTGAGCCTGCCCCAGGCACGGGGCTCCCACTGCCTCCTCCAAACCCTCCCTCAGCCCCGCTCCTCCCCGGTGCCTGCAGGGAGAGGAGCTGGTTTGTTCACGGTTTTGACCTTGGTGCTTGGCCTGGCTAGTCCCCAGCCCCTCCTGGGGACCCACGCGCCCTGCGCTGCAGACCCTCACCCCACCGGGACTCATCCTGACTTCCCCGGCATGCCGGGGTGCACACGACTTCTCCCTGTTATTGTGCTAATTGACAGAGTGCGGTCGCTGCCGGGTGAGTCAGGGTCCCGTCCCTCCAAGGGGATGCCGTCCATCCCAGGAGATGCCGTCAGCGTTCCCCAACGGGGCAGGATGTGAGGAATGGGTTGCGTGCCCAGGCCCTGCGGGAGCACACCAGTTCTCCTGGCCCCTGTCCAAAACGGGATGACCCCAGGGCTCCCCACTCTGGAGCCTGGCCGGCGGATGGGGTGCCTGCCTGCAGAGGCAGCGCATGGAAGTCTCTCCCGTGCTGCTTGGCATCCTCGCTGCCGTTCCCGCGGGTGGATTTTCACAGGAGTGGGCTGGACAGGGAGGATGCCAATGCTAGGCTGACCCGTGGGGCACCACGTGCCGATGAGTCCAGGAGCATGCCAGGCTCCTTGCAGCAGGGCTTGGCATGCCACTGGTGCTGGGGCGGCGGGAAGCGGCTGGGCTGCCCCCACCATCACCTGCAACACAGGAAGGTCCCAGCAGGTCCCAATCTCTGGCATGCTACTGCCTCAGGCACTGCAGGCTCTGTCTGTTTGCCAGTGCCACATCCCTCCCTGCCCTACGTGAAAGAGAGGGTGTTCTCTGGTTCGTGTCCTTTATGCTAAAAAGGAGCCATTTCAGAGCTTTTATCTCCATTTTGCTGTTGGCTTTCAGAGCCTGTTGCTTGAAATGGCTCTGTGTCCCCTTTTCTTCATCTATTTTACCCCAGGGACTTGCTGGTCCTCCCTGGGGACATGGTGGTGGAGATTGCAGTGGGGGAGTGGGTGCTTGGCACCTGAGCGGGCTCTGCCACAGTGCCTTAGCCACTGGTTTTGGGTTGTTCCCTATTGGTTACCCACTGTGCTCTCAGTCTGGGGTGAGACAAGCTGGAGCCCATGTTCCCTGCTCTCCCCGAGCCACAGTGAGCCGTTCCTCCTTCTCCCGGCAGCCTCTTCCCACCAGGGCAGAGGCTGGGGAGGGAGCAACAG